CGCCTTACAGTTTAGGGTTTTAAAAGCAGCGCCTATGGGAGAATTTATATATGTGCTCCAATATTTTAATATTGGATCTGAAATATTGGGCCTAATCTATTCAATTATGGGCTTTCCACACACGGGCCCAAAACATCCACCAAGCCCAGTTCTAGAAATAAATATACTCTTCTTTTTTTCTTTTTTCTTTAAATATTAAAAAAATATACATATTAAATATATCCAATTATCTCAAAATTTTATGTAATTCTCAATTAATCAACCCTTAAAATTATCAGTTTATTTAAATGATTTTGAGTTATTTTAATTAAAATTAAACGAACTCAATTAATCTTATAATTTTAAATAGTCACATTTATTATCGCGCATAAAAATGTTATATAAAATTTTAAGTGATTGAACTATGTTCAAGTTGATTTATTATGTTACTTACGATTATGGAATAATTTTTCTAGATGGAATAACATTTCAATAGATGTTTGCCTGTCTCTCTCTTGATTAAACTAAGACGTCACTTTAATTAAATTGACGTGTATTCGTAGAACGTAACGATTTGTTTTTAGACCATGAAAAATGTGTTTGAAAAATTATAGAAAAAATGGGCGGGAGGATAGACTCGTTTTATCGTAAAATTACACTGCTTTAAATTTTTTTAAAAGTATAAAATAAATATTATTACTTATAAAACCGTTCAAAAATATTATTGTAATTTAAAAATATATATATATTTAAATTTTTTTATTTAATAAACTATTTAAAAAATACTATTGAAAATAAGTTTCATTGAATACCTTTAATTTTTTTTTTTTTTACATAATTAAAAGATACTTTTATTGTTAGTAATGTTAACAACCTTTGAACGTTTATTTTTATAAAGGCAAACGATATTAATGTTACTTTTAAAATTTCATAAATATTTTTTAAATATGATACTAACCCTAAGAATATTTTTTTTTTAACCTTTTTAAAAATGAAAAAGGATATTAATAAAACTTTTTAAAGTTTAAATGTATTTTTGAAATGGTACAATAGTATTTTTTAAACGAAATATAATAGTTTTGATAAAAAATTAAACATATTTTTAAGTGTTTTTTTGAACGTTTGAAGTTTAAAGTTAAAAATAATTTTATTAATTTAGTTTTGTATTTATATATAGTACTAAAAAAAAGTTTATTTTAGGCTTAAATATTATTTTATAAAATAAATCCTAAAGATGGAAAATTAAAATTGACATTAAGAATCAAAATACAACAAATTTTATCATTAAATATTAAAAATATTAAAAAAAAAAAAAAAAAAGGAAATGAACTCAAATTTCATATACTAAATTCAAATATTTTTTTTTCGCTTTTTCATTTTCTTTAAGAAATTTAATGACGTCAATATATACATTTTATTAATATTTGAATATTTAATTTAAAATATCAATATTAAACTAGTTAAATCATAACTAAAATTTTCGTTGACTTAAACTATATTAATTTTACATTTGAAAAAAAAAAAATAACTATATTTGTATTTTAAATTATTCAGACGCTTCTGCTCCAACCATTACCTTTTGACTTTGGAATATTAATCAATTAATTGGTAGTTAACAATTAATATAAATTTATCATCGTCACCGTTTCACAATATACCAACTATATATATAATCTTATTAAATGACCATATTTCAATCCACCAAATAATTATTTTATAATTACATCATGGTCCACCATTGATTACCACTCATTTAGCGTTGACTTCAAACAAATTTAGCCCAATTTAGATGAACAATAATCAAATTATACGTATGAAAAATATTGTATAAGATTTAATTTATATTATGAGTTTATGATTTGTAAAAATTAAATATAATGTGTTACTATAAGATAATCTTGGTATATTAATTAGTTGAAACAATTAAAGTTGAAAAAAACGAGTCAACAACTAACCTTTATATTATCTCTTACAAGATTTCGCAAATCTTTGTGTCCGGTATTAAACTTTCAACCTAAAAAATAAATAATTATGTACAATTTTTCACATTTCGACTTGTTTTTTTGATCTTCTGTAACGTATTTATTTTATTTGAATTTTCACTGTCATCTGATGATGACACGTGTCCTCTAATTGGGTCTGGCGTGTAGTGCCTCATAAATGTATTCAAAGTCGGTTAAAAACTAGTTTCTTACCATTTTTGGCATCCGATTCAATTTTAGATTTTCAATTGCAAAATTCTCTCTATAGAACATTGTATTAAAATATCAAGAACATAATAAAATAAAAAATAAAAAATGGGTCGGGTCAACAGAATGGCCCATTCTTTGGCCCATTTAGTTCTTTAATTCAAGTAGAGGAATACTTTTTTTTTGGTTATTTTATTCAAATTAATTTATAAAAAAGAAAAAGAAAAAAAATTCCCTGGCAAGCTGGTAAAATAAAAACGTTTTATTTAAATTAGTTATATACATGTACAGACAGATTTGTCCGACCAACGGCTGAGATTGAATCCCTGAAATCTCTCTCCATCTCGACCGCAATTATCGGTCCACTACCTCCTAAAAAGGCCTGCATTCGGCCTCAAAAGCTCACCTCTTCCATTCCCCGTCTTCCTCTCCTCCCCCTTTCCCTTTCCACTTTGATCCCAAACCACCAGACCTCGGATCTAATCTCCTTTCCCTCCTGCAATGGCTGCCACCCCCTCTGTTCGTGAGGAGCATGTTTACATGGCCAAGCTTGCCGAGCAGGCCGAGCGCTACGAGGAGATGGTCGAGTTCATGGAGAAGGTTTCAGCTGCCATCGACAAGGAGGAGCTCACCGTCGAGGAGAGAAACCTCCTTTCTGTCGCCTACAAGAACGTTATCGGCGCTCGCAGGGCTTCCTGGCGCATCATTTCCTCCATTGAGCAGAAGGAGGAGAGCCGAGGCAACGCCGACCATGTCTCTGTGATCCGTGATTATAGATCCAAAATTGAGACCGAGCTCTCCAATATTTGCGATGGAATCCTCAAGCTCCTTGATTCCAGACTCATTCCCTCCGCCGTTTCCGGAGATTCCAAGGTTTTCTACCTCAAAATGAAGGGCGACTACCACAGATATCTGGCCGAATTCAAAACCGGAGCCGAACGGAAGGAAGCCGCCGAAAGCACTCTCACTGCTTACAAAGCCGCTCAGGTCTGCTTCGTTGATTTCCGATCCATGTATTTGACTGCTATTTTGTCATTATAGCGAGCCTATTTCTATGTCTCTTTGTTTGTGCAATTATTCTCTTTATTTACGATCACGATAGTCAAATTATTGTTCCTCTTTCTAATTAGAAGGTCAATTCCTGCTACGTGCTTTCCGCTCGATAGATTTTCGTATTGCGTAAAATTGAACGAACTTCCTATTTGATTTACAGGATATCGCGAATGCGGAGTTGCCTCCTACACATCCTATCCGACTTGGATTGACCCTTAACTTCTCTGTATTCTACTACGAAATTTTGAATTCCCCTGATCGTGCCTGCAGTCTTGCAAAACAGGTTAGCGAACCTCCGAAGTTTATACACTATGTTAATCAAATGTTCAAATGATCTTTACCGTGTTTGGTATGAAATTATCATTACGTTACTCTTTTAACTGCTCGGGCAAACTATTGACGTTCGAATCATCTATAATTGCCTGGTTGTCCGTTTTCATGTTGACTGAGAATCCGAATCTAGAATGCTCTGCTTTTATAAAGCTTGTGTAACAGATTTTTCTCATAAACTGGCGTAGTTTACCATTTAATTCCTCCGTTATTTCCATGCTTAAATCAGGCGTTTGATGAAGCTATCGCTGAGTTGGATACCCTTGGCGAGGAATCCTACAAAGATAGTACTTTAATCATGCAACTTCTTCGCGACAACCTCACTCTCTGGACATCGGACATGCAGGTACAGAAATTAAATGCATCCCACTTTAGTATATCATGGTAGATGTACTGAAATAATTCATTACTCAACAATACAGTGACCGTGGCCTAGTTATAATTTGAATTCAAATAATATGGTGAATATTTATGAACATATTACTCAATAAGCTATTTGGAAGAGCTACTATAGCTGTTCTATTATAAAATCTAATTGATGGCTGAAACAGCTACCATGCATTGAAGGAAGTACGATGAAATTACTGAAAATGATCCAAAGGAATTACAAACCCTCCTTTTCCTTTTCAATTAATGCCTAAGTTTGCAAGAATTACACCCTTTTAGGCTCTAATTTTTGTTTTCATGATCTTGATATAGGATGATGGTGCGGATGAGATTAAAGAAGCTCCCCCCAAGCGTGAGGATGAAAAGCAGTGAGATTAGTGGCTCCCCAAGTAGAGTTAAAACTTCTCCTTTATATGTTTTTGATAGGAGAAAATGCTTGCTTGTTGTTGCTTATTTTGTACTGTCCTGCCTTCTCTAAGGCTCTCATCATATTTGGTTGCGATCCGAGCTGCTACAGAACCTTGTTTATCTTTTCTGATTAATTATTATATATATCAAAAATCAGTCTCTGTGTTCCTTCTCATTTTTATGTTACTGCGTTCCTTCCATGTCCAATCTGAATGGATGCTATTTGAAGCTCTGATAGCATTGGCTTCTATTTTGTTGCCAAGCTAATGGCTTCATGTTCAATCATCCGCTCTTATCTACCCCGTTTTTTAGTTGCATAGTTGCTCCCGTATTATTAGATTATTAATTCTTCATTGATCTTTAGTAAGATTCCACCTCCCTTCGAACAAAGTACGCTTTCCCTTAATCGAGATTCGAAATCTATTGGCACAACTAAGTTTAGGGCATGACTCTGATACTATGTGAGACGAACACGCTCTCTACAATGGTATGATATTGTCCACTTTTAGTGTAAGCTTTCATGGCTTTGTTTTGGCCTTCTCCAAAAGTCCTCTAACAAATTCTCATTGATATATTATTGTTGCCGTTTTAAATCAACAGTAAAAATTAATATTTTTAAAAAAATTATTTAAAGATCTTTTAAGTTTCGACTAAATAAAAAATATTTAAAAAATAAATTGGAGACTGAAATTGAAAACTAACGGTATTGCATTTTTAAATTCCAGAGTGGATAATAAAATAATATATAATAGCAATTTTCCCTCTTTCTTTGCCGAGGCTTCCTCCTGACGCATAAAACGGCGGCGTTTCCTGAATGTAACCGGCCGAAGGGGACTAGTCGCCGACCCATCTAGGGCTTGACGCGGGTACAGATGGCGAGAGCGGCAACTATGGAAACCCTAATTGACTTGTCGATGGCGAGAACATCAGATTTGGGGAAGATAAGGCACTGTGCGAGGACCTTGGGGAGTTCAAGCATCCGAATGCTAGGGGCGATGATGGCGGCATCTGAAACTGTGGATGTGACTGTAACATTGCAGACGATGGTGGGAGAGGCATCGAACCTTGCTGCTGTGTGGTGAAATTGTTCCAGCAGGACGAGGCTAGATGGCTGAGTGGTGATAATCCTTGGGGCGGCGGTGGATTTGAATCGGCAATGGGAAATGAGTTTGGGATGTATCGCATGTATGCTGAGATAGGAGATTCGGCCGCTGCGTGGACGGCCGGGAGTGGAGGCAATGGGGATAGCGGCGCCATAGGCCGGCCGGTGAGGCCGAAATTCAGGGCGGTCGAGGGGTGGAAATGGGAACTGTTTGGTAGCTGTTGTGGAGGGGGACGATTAGTAACATGAGCGAGAGGAGGAGGGCGAATTCGTTGGAGGCGAGAGCTTTGGGGCTTAGGAGGTTGAATGGGCGGAGGATTTGAGAAGCGCTCGTGAGCGGGGGAGCCTGTAAGCTTCTGAACCACATCGCGGAAGTCATTCTTGTTAATGTTATACACCGGGGGCTGGTGCTGTTGCGCCAGCGCCTGCGCCTGTAGATTCTGTTGCTGCTGCGGTTGAACTGCAGGGGCTGCCGATTGAAGTCGATTTTGGGTATGGTTGAAGCTCGAATGATTTTGATTCACAGGAGCATCAAAACAGGGCTTTCTCAGCTGGGATTGGGAAGTAGCCTTGGAGATTTTGTGGGATAGTTTGCTGAGATTGAGACTATTATGGTCTCTCCCTGTGGCACTGCTACTGGTACTGGTCGATTTCACAGATGTTTGACTGCTTTTATCCATAATGTATATTATCCAATACGTTTTTGTTGTCTAACCTATACACAAACAGATGAATCAGGCACAGGGCTCACAGCAGACAGCTCTAGGAGTGGTGGGGATGGCGAAAGAGATGAATCAGGCACATGGGTCACAGCAGGCAGCTCTAGCAGCGGTGGGGATGGTGGCCTACGCCTTTCTTCTTGCGCGGCAGTCGGTAAGTAGGGACACAAACCCTCTGTGCTGCTCACAGTACATATATTATATCATCTCAAGCTTGAAATTGTAAGAAGATGGTTGAATGATAATTACAAAAGGGAAGAAGCTGCCCCTTATTTTCATTTACTAATACACTTTTAATCCAATGGCACTGTTGCTAATTTCGTGATTAAATGCATGATAAGTGAAAGATAATCAAAGCTTACGTCTGCTAATTTGTTGTGTGATCTCTTTGTTGTGCCATAGGAAACGAATTAGAAAGCACTTTTGCTGGTCAAAGTTCAAGATTCGAACAGTGTTCTTTACGTAGGATTGAAAGAGAAAGAGAGACAAAGGCTGCGTAGATAATTATCATCATGTTTCGCTTGTTGGACGTGGGACCCACCTCCGCTAATTTAGGAAATGATTGAGTTTATAAACAAAGAATCCTCTCTTCATTGAAACGAGGACTTTTGGGGAACCCCCGACCAAAGCCATGTGAGCTTAAAGTGGACAATATTATACCATTATGGAGGGTACGATCATACCGTTATGGAGGGTCGTGTTCGTCTAACATCGCTTACATTGGACCCGTTAGCCGTAAGAGATTTTGAATTTGAAGCGTTTGGTCCTTTTCTATTGATTATTAAATGGGAATTCCGAACTCTTTTTGTTACATGATTTGGCAATTATTTGTTGTATGGGAACAATTTTATGTATTAGATTTCATATAATTTGACGATGATTTTTAAATTGTTATATTGTTTGTTTCAAAAATACTTAGGGCCTATCCTATTGTCGAAATCTTACTTTTGATTTTAATAAACGTTTCAAAACTATTTTCAGTTCCATTTTTTCGTCAAAAATTGAAAAATGTCAATAAATATAAGGATTTGTACTTTACATGGTTCTAACCATTTTAATTTTAATTTTGTGTTGAGTAAAAAATATAATAGATTAATAATTGATGGCTCCATGAGTTCGTCTAATGGGTCTTTTGTTGATCTCGATTCATGAGCTACTATTTGAGTTTATTTTGTGGGACTCGACTGAAGAGGACCACTCGAGTAAAAAAAAAAAAAATCCCTCAGCTAACACATAAATTATATTAATAAAAATTCATAACTCTGTCTAAAAACAATTAAGTTATATATATATATATATTTTGTCACTTTAATTAAAAAATATTTAAACACAAAGTTGGAAAAACTAAATTGACAAAGTCTAGAATTCATGCAAAAAAAAAAAAAAATCACTTATTGGGCCCTTATTAAATATACGGCCCGTTCACTCGGCCCATCACAGCCCATTACCCAAATTAAAGGAGTGACGTGGCAATTTCTAATTGGAGAACCATTATCGCTATTTCGCCTCAGCTGGAATCATCGGAACCAGTGAGTGGTCAATTTTAACCTAACCAACGGGTTAGTGTTTGTTCCTCTTCGCTCGCCTCTGATATCATCGAATCGTTGGGTTTGTAGCTGCAACCGAAGCGGATCACTTCTTCTTTTTCCATACATGGCGGAAGCGCAGAGTGAAAAACCTCCTTCCTTGTCTGAGGTATTCTTTTTGCAGCTTTCATTATCTCAAATCTTTCACTTAACCTAAATTTCTGTTTCATTTACGCCCTTCCTTCAGTTTTTGTAAATTTTTCCCCGGTAATGTATTTTAATTGGTCGATTAACGGTCGATTTTGATAGATCGGTTGTTTTATTGTAGGATTTCTTCAATTATAATGACAGGTGGGGTTTTTAGTTGTAAATTCATCATTTCTTAGTGTTCTGGAAAAAAATTGTACAACAGTAGTAAATTCCCTGGATTAGAATACCCCGATTCCATTGGAAATTAGAAATAGTTTTGAGATCCAGTAGCAATAAATGGTTGGAGAATGCTTCCCGTGGGTTCTGGTGGTTTGTTTTGCTCTCTTTATATTATTTGTTTTGACAAGATCAATATGGTTAACCAAGTTTTAAAGAATTGTTACTTATAGTTTCCTAGAAGATATATATTTCTTCACTCCCCATTAAAGGAAAAATAAAAACCGATAACCCAACTCTAAGCAATGGCCATTGTTCTTAATAATTTCGTCTAACAGCTCTGTATACAATAAAGAACAAAAGAAACAGGCTTGAGCTGCCTTGTTTAATAGGGGAATTTGAATTTGAAGTCAAATTTTCTTCTTAACTAGAACTCCCAGTAATAAGTCGTGTTGGTTTGTTATATAAATCCTGGGAGCTATATACCTTGTGGTTTCTGTGCTACTGTGATTTTGGAGAGTGAAAAAATTTTACCCTTAAGATCATGGTGAGAAGCATGTCTCGGTCATTATCGTTCTCATATCAGGACATTGTCATAGAGTTTGTCCCCATCGCTTTTACAAAGAATATCCAGTAATGTTCGGATTTGAGAATTGAGAATAATCTTCTGTTACTTTCGCTTTTAGCAATATTCCTTGAAAGAAAAAGAGGAGAAGGTGGATATACCGAAGCCCTCTGAAGTAGAAGAGGTGGAGAACTCAGAAAATGCTGTCCCAGCTGAAGTTGTTGTGAAGAATGATGAACCACCTGTTGAAGCTGATGCTGATCAAGGCAGTAACAACCCTCCTGCTGATGTAAACAATGGGGATGCTTCGGCAGCTGCTGCTGTAGAGGATTCTGAAACCAATGCTGCTGCTGGAGAAGAGGAAATATCTGGTGACCAAGAAAGCACGGATGAGCGACCTGAGATCAAGGTTGCTGCCCTGTTTATTTTTGAAATGCTTGACTTGTAGGCATCTTGTAGTTTTGATTTTTGTATATATTGTTTGCTCATTCTTTTGTTGCTCATATGCAGCTCGAAACAGCACCAGCAGATTTTCGGTTCCCTACTACAAATCAAACTAGGCATTGCTTCACCCGCTATATTGAGTACCATAGGTAACGTTTAGCGTGTTTTTTATCTACTTGTATTCAATTCTTGGTCCTTTCATAATTTAGTTGAACTTCCTTGAAAGTATGTGCTCATCTTTGTGATGCGTACAGATGCACGCAAGCCAAAGGGGAAGGCGCTCCGGAGTGTGACAAGTTTGCGAAATATTATCGTTCTCTTTGCCCAAATGAATGGGTATGTGTTCTCGCTTTTGTATCTATTTTCGTTCACTTATTTATTATTAGAGAACTCGAGGACACTGTTATACAACCTACTGTTCAAGTAAGGTTGTCTTCGATCACTTAATTTAAACTTGGTAAGAAGTGGGAGATTAAAGTCAGCCATATGCTTGATGTAAAATGTGCTCTATAAGACCTTTATGTTTGTCATTTCATGGGCACGAGCTCGATGTTCATACGTATCTCTACTCCTAGTTAATCAATCAAAGCATTACTTTCCCGACGAATTCTGGCAAAAGCACATCAAAATTTGACATGAGAATTTCTCTTAGTAACGCATTCTTTGATAACTGTTGCAGGTAGAGAAGTGGAATGAGCAGAGGGAGAACGGATGCTTCCCAGGTCCGCTGTAGGAGTGTTGTCTATTCGAAAATTCATCAGCAGTTTGGCTCACGCTGCCGTAACACAGGCAAATAAACTGGAGAATGTTGTCTCTATCAAACAATTGAGTTAATAATTTTCGGCTGGTTTTGTTTTTTTATTCAAATCCATTTGCAAGCAAGTTTTGTTGATTCAATACCAAATGGTTTTTCCATATTTAGATCATGTTTCATCAATGGCTACATGGAGTTAGAACCTAACCACTCCTGTAAGACCCATATCGGATGCACTGATACATGCTTTTATGAAAATTCTAATAAACTGTAGTTAGCAATCTCTTTGTTCTCGAGCCATTCTTCTGAAACTAAGACCCATATCGGATGCAAGCAAGTTTCCTCGCACATTCTAAAGTTGATGGAGTTTCATCCTGAAACTAGGGTGGAAGTTATGTTGTTTAAAAGAAATTGATGCAGAAAATGAAAACAATATCTACACGAATTACCCCCACAACGTAATTTTCATGAGTTTTTGGTGTTCATGTACAAATTCTTGAACGAATTTAAATCCAGGCAAGTAAAACTATTCATAGTAAAAGATATAATTAAAACATAGCATTTAACCAAGAACATATAATCAATTACTTAGATGTGTCAACGAAGGACTCGATTTGAACTCCGCTGAGGATCGTAGTTGACACAAATAACAATGTCCTTTCACCACGGATTGTGTTTATTATAGCAAAACACAATTTACACATTGATTGCAATTGGAGCGTAAAAAAGAAAAAAAGAAGAAAAAAACATATATAGATCGACGCATAGTTGTTCTAATCTGGAGATTCTGGTTAAGCTCTTTCACCACGGATTCTTCTGGCAAGTTGAATATCTTTCGGCATTATTGTAACACGCTTGGCATGAATGGCGCAGAGATTGGTATCTTCAAACAGCCCAACGAGGTAAGCTTCAGCCGCCTCTTGCAAAGCCAAAACCGCGTGGCTCTGGAAACGCAGATCTGTCTTGAAATCTTGTGCGATTTCACGGACAAGCCTCTGGAATGGAAGCTTGCGGATAAGAAGCTCAGTACTCTTCTGGTACTTGCGGATTTCTCTGTATCACATACATTACAGAGGGCATAAGATTCATGTAAACGAGAAACCATGATTGATTTTTTCGAATGCGTAAAGTAAAGAACAGATGTGGTAACATACCGAAGAGCAACTGTTCCTGGGCGGTATCTGTGCGGTTTCTTCACGCCTCCAGTAGTGGGTGCCGACTTACGCGCAGCCTGGGAAAATATTGGTCAGATTTACAACACATTAGGTCAGGAAACAAATGAGAATTTAGAACTAGGTTGCTGGCAATCATCCTGGAAAATACCTTGGTAGCAAGCTGCTTTCTGGGAGCCTTTCCACCTGTGGATTTGCGAGCAGTTTGCTTCGTACGAGCCATCTGAATCAATGTCGTGCGAATTAAATATCGTCGCTCAATCAAAACAAAACAGATCGCTAAGATAATTCCAATGTAAAGTGCGTCTCTGTTTCTAAATTAGAATGAACAGGTGTATCTGACGATTGTTCCAGAAACCTATAAATTAGAAGTACCTAGTAAACTTAACCAGCATTTAGCCTGCGAATATGAGATTATTTGATTATTTGACCTACTTCTCCCCATTCCTCTCCTAAACTTTTCACGGATAACAGCACAAGTTCTTCGACTTTGTAGAGGTTTCTAAAGATTAGTTATCAACAAATCTCAAAGTTCGAGAAATAAATTCCAGAAGAAAAACTAACCCTAACCGCATAAACAACATTCGACTAGAAAGAATTCGAGAAGAAGATTAACCATATCCTCCAGGAATGAAATTGAAAGGAAAACCGAATAATACTAATCAATCACAAGAAAATAAGTCAGATAAACGAGACGACGATGAACTAACCTGGAAGAAGAGGAGGAGCTTGACAAGCGAGAGAGAATTTTCGTCCTCGGATAGATAGGGATTTCTTTCAAAATACGGGTGAATTCGAAGAATGGGGAACCAAACCCCTTTATATAGGGCCTCCCGGTCCGACCCAAGCCTGTGCCGTATGGCGGCGGATGGACACGATTAACATTCACTGTGTTTCTTCGTGCTTAATCGGACGGTAGAAAGAATCCTACCGTACTTCGTACGAGTGGATCAATGGACGGTCACGATTCGACTTTCCGAAACATCGGACGGATCGTGAAAATGACGTGGTGGCTCCTTATTGGTCGTAGGGACACTAGAAAATTTTGAAGACAAAAATGATTTTGTCCGTCTTATTATACTTTAAAATTATTTGAGATTTATTATATTATTTAAGATGAAAATGTTAATTTTTAACTAATTTTAGTAATTTCAAAATTGCAATTTCAACAAAATATAATTTTTTTTTATAAATATATTTGTTTACGAGTGATTTTAAATAGCTAATCATTATTGTCATATTTAAAATAACTTTTAAGGTAAAAAAATATATTTTTTACTATTTTTAATTTAAAGTTTAATTTTACCCTTATGATTTCATACCAAAATTAGAGTACATTTCATAATAATTTTAAACTTGAGAAATATGATTTTTAACCCTTTTAATATCATTTCCAAAATTATATAGATGATTACAAAATTACATAATCTCAGACCATAATATGTTGAAGATTATTGGAAATGAGTCCCACGTTGGTTTATTTAATAGACGGTCATATGTTTATAAACGAAGAATACTATCTCCATTGAGGCTTTTTGGAGAAGCCCAAAACAAAGCATGAGAGGTTATACTCAAAGTGGACAATATCATACAGTGTGAAAGAGTCTGAATTCCTAACGTAATATATTTTGCACAAGTGAAAATCTCTCGAATTGTTAAAATAAATTTATTTGCTTCATTATTGTACTAATTTAATTACTATAAGATGAAAACAATTATGCTTAATTACCCACTCCTCCCCAAATGGAGTGGTCATGGAAACTTTTCTAAATTTATCCATCTCCTGCTACTCCCTCCGCCTACTCTGCTTAATAACAACCCCCTCCTGCCCTTCTATACCACTGCCAACTACCAAAACTCGGGTTATAAGCACTCCATCGTCGTCCCGTTGTAGCTGCCTTACTGCAACGACGTACAAAGCTGGTGCGACGATGGGGGGTGGGGCGCCTGCATATACAATGAGCTGTAGGGGCATTTTATCTTGCTATTTAATGGAACTATCTGAAAATGGAAGTCATATTCCCATTTGGCAATTCTCTTTGACATAAACAATCTGGCAAAGGGTTAACATAAAAGGCTTCTTCTGAGCGGAACCTGTCCATGCCCTTGGTTCCTGAAATGGGACCTTTTCTCTTCCTCGCAGAGCCTTGTCTGAGAAAACAGGTTCAAGAGCAAAATCAAATACATGTTTGTTTCTTTAAAGAAGATCACTAGAATTTGCTCCCACAATTCAATATCCAATTAACTAACTAACAACAATAAGAAGAAAAAAACAATACCTTCTCTTGTGCATTTCAGTGATTCGGTGGGCCAAATTTTTCCCTTCTTTCATTGTTCCCTGATCGACTTTGTCGAACAATCGAACAAGCCCTTTCCTGGTTGACGATGACAAGATGATACAAACAGTTTCAGAGGAAGCAATTTGAGGCAACGTTCGAGTAGAAAATGCTTATAATGATAAGTCTCTTGCCTGTCAGGAGATATTGTTTTCCTATGTCCAAGAAATCGTCGGTGACCTTCAACTGCTCTTGCCATATTCCCGGAGTATGAAGGAACAAAAACGTCACTCTCAACAGACACAATGTAGTCCAGAGCAGCCATTTGAGATGCATGATTGACAAAAGGTTCGAGCTCCTCAACAGATGCTAACTTCTCCTGAAATTAGCAGAAGAAACAAATAAGCCTATCATTACAATTTCACAAGCCATGCGACACTTCTGTAAGAAGTTTGTGTGGGAAATCCCAGGAACCCACCTTACTGCCAAAACATGAGAATCTTGAAAATGATCAACTATTGATCGGCATAGCTAACAGGACATGGGATTTGAGTTTTCTAAGTTCATGAAACTTTTGATATAATCAAAAGTTTTTAAAGAAATCTTGTAGTTTTCAAAATAGGAAACTAAGGTAGTGAGGTCCAAAAAGTTAACAGTACATGTTCATACCTTGCTCATCAGTAATGGATACCGAGCTTGCAGATCAGACATGTGTGAATCACCACCATAAATCTCTCCAGCAGCAATGTATATAGGAGTTTTGGACGGGTAGCCAAGTGCACTAAGAAATATTCCGACCTCCTTTGGAGTTAGTGGGCAGAACCCTTTGGATCTTTGTTCCAAAGGATCAATCTCCTTTACCTTCCAATATGACGTATTTTCTCTGCAGGCATTGAACTCAACTCAACACATCACCAGAAAAACATGTACAATGTAACCAGACACATTAAGGTTTATAGGAAGGAACTTATACCTAATCATCCGTAGCTCGTCTGCTTCAGCAGGAGATAAATCATGTGTACACCCACTAAATGCAAGCATGTCCTTCTCGTATCGTAAATGTAGAGCAATATAAGGACCACGGGACCTCATTCGATCCACCAATAACTACAGTATATATTTTAACTATTTTAAAAGAAGGAACACGATCACTGCAGCAGCAAAATAAGACTAGAAAAGAATATTACTTTGCCCAAGGCTTCAATTTTAGGTGCAAAAAGAAGGGCTTGGTAGCAAGCACGGCAGCGGAGTCTCTGGATATCTAAAGGTAGATTATTGTTTGCTAATCGTGAATCAGATTTTGCAGCTCGAATAACCTACAAATAGCACATTAACTAATGAAGAACAATAATAGGGATTTTCATAGAGAAGATCCAAATTTGGTCCAAGTACCTGATATTCATCCCAAAGGGTAGCGATCTCCTGCTCGTAATAATCCTTAGCTGACCAGCTTCTAAAATGCTTAACTATCTTCGTAGCAGTAGCCAATTCTTTAGGAAGTTTTTTTATCACTTTTACATCGTTAGCAAGAGCATTGATAAAATGATCTTCATCAAAAACATCTGAGAAGTTGCTGAAGATTAAAACAAATAAAATGAAATCAATCATGGCTGGGCAATGTGACACATGGAGATTGGGGAAAAAAGGACGAAGAAGAACAAGAAACCTAGTGTCCTGCCAGAACGATTGTTTATCGAGTTCTGGAATTACAAGGGTAGCATTAATGATGCGGGCTACAGCTACCATGTCACATATCTGCAATTCAAGAATGAAAATGGTTTTTAAAGACCAAAACTTCCACTGATTTAGTTATGAAGTACTGGAAAATAATAAACACAA